TATAACAACATGATGCAATGAAACTTATTCTAACCCTGTGAATCATTTCTAGAGTTTTCTATGTAATATTTTAAGATCACATTGACAGTGGCTAACATTGTGGTATACCAATATAAGACACTCAAAAATTTTATTACAGCAGGCAGTTCTAGAATAATTAAGCCCAGAATTTTCTTTAATATCTGCTTTTATTATTTTTATATGCATGTATGAGTGTATACCATGTGTGTCCAGGTACCCTAGGAGGCCAGAAGAGGACATCAGAGCTGCTGGTGTTGGGTTTACAGATGGCTGGTACTGCCCAGTGTGGAAGCTGGGCACTGAACTAGGGCCTCTGCGAGAGCAGCACGTGCTCATACTTGTTGAGTCATCTGTCCATGAATTCAGATAAATGTACACATGTTTGTAGAACCCAGCCCTTTGCTTTTTTATATGACCCATAACTTCCCAGCCCCTAATGTCAGATGAGAACAAAGTCTGTTGCATCTAATCCTGTTCTATGTAGTGTTGGTTAGCAACTATAAAGTCATTAAACACTGGGCAACTGAAGAGGATACACAAAGACCCACCTATTCACTCTGTTGCATGTGACCCCGCCCCCGTTTCATCCTCACAAATATAATCAGTTCTAGTTCAACACTGGGCAAGGACAAGCATTTTACTTTGAAAAACATATCCTTTGCTCTTTCTGGTGTTAAAGGTTGGGCATGTTTCAGGCAAACAGCATCCGTTCATCAATTATCAATTTTCGTTTTATCTCTCCTTCCTTTACCTCCGTCCCTCCATCCCTCCCTCCCTCTTTCTCTCTCTCTCTTTCTCTCTTTCTTTCTTGACAGGGTCTCCATGGAATTCTGGAACTCCCTATGGAGAACTGGCCAGCCTTCATCTCATAGAGATCCACCTGCTTCTGCCTCCCAAGTGCTGGGACCATCATATCTGGCTCTGCCTAGATTTCTTAATGCTTACTTCTCTAACTTTTTTGTTTTAGGTTTTCTTTTTGTGGAAAAGGAGAGAAAATACATTTAAGTGAATTTCCTGAACAATTTTCCTTCCCCATTACTACTATAAACTGGCTTACATTTGCAACAAATATCTCTGGATAAATTTTCTAGGACACAAGGCTGCGTAGTAAAGAGGAGGAATGATATGAAGAAAACCCCTCCCAGAAGGTGTTTTACTATTTGTCGGATATAAGGACCCTTCAGAGTGACATTGTTAGGAGACATGGCTCAAGTGTGCTATGTAGATTTTGCATATGATTTCATTCACAGCTCTATTTGTTAACATATGGTGTGAGATTTGTATGTTGGTGAAAAAAAGCTAGCACTTACTTTGGAGCATGATCATCTGCAAAGATAACTATTTAATTTTATTTATTATTTATTTTCATTCTATGTGTATAAGTGTATTGCCTGCATGTAGGTAGGTGCGCCCATGTCATGCAATGCCCACAGAGATCAGAAGAAGGCACTGGATGCCTTGGAATTAGAGTAACAGACAGTTGTTAGCTGCCATGTGTGTGCTGGAAATTGAACCTGGGTCCTCTGTAAGAGCAATCAGTGCTCTTAACCACACAGCCATCTCTCCAGGCCAAAGATAACTACTAGTGAGATTGAACCTCTCCTCATTACTTTGTTGAGCTCCCTGCATTGGTTACTTCAATAGAATGTGAAAGTGATGGGATCTTGACTAACAGGATTCTACACAAGACCCTTTTAATCAATGGCCTTGTATATTTAGACAATTTTTCTACAGAAGACATTATTTGATCTTTATTTTAGCAGTGACAATAACAAGTATCTCATGAGGATTTGTAAAGTTAACCAAATGGCTTCATAGTTGTCTGTTTGAAATTAATACTTGGATGATAAGTTAAGACAAGATCCAGAGAGCATTTCCTGGCCTCTAAGACACTCCAACTCCTAACTTCCCACCAGACTTTGTCTCTGTGACTCTCCCTCCCACTCAGTCCTCTGTAACAGCTCTGGGTCCCCCTGCCATTGTGGACACGAGGCTTTGTTCATTCAGCTCCTGGCTTTGTGCATGTTCATTCTCAGGTCCGAGCCCTCCTGCCAGTCAAGGCAGGTGTGTTCCTGTCATTCAGGTCCCTTAGCAACACATTCCTTCAGAGCCTTCACACAGCAGCTTATCAAATAGTGCCTGCTTCTCCACATTGCTCTACATTTTATCATCTCAGAGCCACAGTACTCACTAGTAATTCACATGATATAATATTTACTTTTCCTTGTTGTCTGACTTCCTTTTATGACTGTGTTCCACAGAAATGGAGATTTTCCCTGCTATTCCAATGCCCTTGTCATGACAGGACTTAGAATAGAACCTGGGGCATGATTCATGCTTAATGTTTCTTGATGTAAAGTAGAAGAGGCTGGAGGAGAGAATGAACTTACATCTACCCTCACTTTGCAGGAAGCAATGTTCAGAGTGTTCTATGTGGACACTTAGTTTAAACATTGTAAACTGGCCTACGCCTGTTTTCCAGAGACTCAACGCAGGCTCTTGGACACGTTAGGCAAGCACTCTACCATCGAGCTTCAGCCCAAGCCTGCTATTACTGTGTCCAATAAAGAAAACAGGTGTTATGAGAGTTAATAACCCTTCCCATAGTGACTTGAGCAAGATGTTGAAACAGAGCGACCTGAATCCAAAACCTATACTCTTGAACACTGCCTCTCAAATGCAGCCATCTTTATATCTGATGTCTGAAAACAGTGCTACAAAATAAACTGAACTCAGCATAAAAGCACATTTACATATCTAAAAGTTACTGACACAGAAAATAATTGCATTCAGTCATTAACCTGTTTCTGGAATCTCAAAAGCCAATGCTTCAAAATAATCGAGAAGAATTTATGATACAGGAAGTGCTTTTCCTCGGTAGCGAGGAAGGTAACACCTACCTCCAAGCGACCAGCTAGCGCAGCCACGTGGAGGGCAGTGAGACCTCCGTATCCGACCTGCTGGACATCTGCTCCGCTGTGCAGAAGGGAAGTGATCAATTCCGGGCTGTCCTGTAATGAGATGCACCTTTAGTGGTCCTGGGTACAGAAGCTGTACGCAGGCCATATTGATTCCCTGACTGTTAGGGGCTAGGATACTCACAGAAGACCTAGGTGTGATCTGCCACAAGCTTTCATCAGAGAGCAGAGCATCTCCCAGGTGGCTGAGATGTAGCATTTAATGCAGGATGGGGTAGTTCAACCCCCCTTACCACTTGACCTTGAAGGGTAGAAAGGACGTTTGCCTACAGTGAGGCTCTAGCCATTATGTCAGTTTTACATGTAGGGTACTGCGCCCCGCCCCCCACAGGCTTTCTCCAGTAAATCAAACAAACCCCCAAGAGGATGCATGAGGAGTGTGAAGGTTTAGTTCTTTTTTTACTTTGAGATCAAGATGAAATATGTCTTCTAAGACCAGAATATAACACAAGTATTGAACAAATGGTTCACTGGGCTTTTATGGTAGTTATGCAATTGCCTCTTCTGTAACAATAGAATCACGGGAAACATACATGATAAACCAGTATTGTCTTGCCTTTGCTCATTTTTACAAGTCGGGTCAGCATACTCAAAAGTGTGAGGTAATTGGTCATGTATCCACAGATGCCCAGTTCTTGGTGGGAACTTAAAGTTCTCTGCGTTTAATGCTCTGTTAAAGTAAGAGCTCTAAACAGGCATGGTGGTGCACACTGTAATCCAAATAGTCGGAGGCCAAATCCACTCTGGGGTACCTGGGGAGACTCATGAATAAATAAGAGCTCAAATTTCAATTTCTGGAATAGTTGAGGGACACAGCAAGTGACAGGAGACTGGAGTCTTCAGGATCAGTCATTTTAAACCACATTCCAGGATTTCAAATGTAAGTAATGTAACACAATCCTCCCATTAAAAACCAAGGGTGACATATGAATGTTGTCACACATATATGAAGGCTTACACAACGTTATTTTAAAAGTTTAAAAAGTTAGGCAAAATCTTCAAATGACAAAATGCATATTGTAAATCTGCATTACTTACCTCCTCTACCAAGAAATTTAAGAAAAGACCGTACAGGTTACATCTTTGGCCTTGACTATTGCATGCTTTTCTATTTTTTTTTGTTTGTTTTTGTGATAAACACTGTGGAGGTTTGAATGAGAATGCCCCTCCCCCATAGGCTCCAAGTATTTGGACATTTTGTCCCCACATGGGACAAATAAACTTTTCTTTCTATGAGTTGCTTTGGTCAGTGTTTCTATCACAGCAACAGAAAAGTGACTAATACTAAAACCATGACCAAAAGAAACTGAGCAAAAGGTGTATTTTATCTTACACTTCTGGTAACAGTTTCTCTGGGAGGAGAGTCAGGTGGGAACTGAAGACAGGAACCTAGAGGCAGGAATCACGGAGGAGCACTGCTTGTCATCTTGCTCCAAGCTCCTGCTCAGCTAGCCTTCTGATGCAGTCCGGGTCCACTTGCCTAGGGGTGGTGCTTCCCACAGTGGGCTGAGTCCTCCCACAACCATTATTGACCAAGAAAATCTCTCATAGACATGGCCACAGGCCAGTTTGGTTGAAGCAATTCTTCAACTGAGGATCCTGCCTCTCAGTTGACTCTAGTGTGTGTCAAGCTGAAAAGGCAAACTAACCAGGACACATGAATGTCTCCTTCTGCTTCACCTAAGAGCTCGGAACTAGTTTTCTCCACTCAAAAGCAGCAGTTCTTCTTTGACATAAGGTTAATTAACATTCTCGCTCCTCGCATTTAATATCTGGTCTTATGAAAAGTGCTCATTAATGGTGCTGCTGGTTCTGATTTCAGTTTTGTGTCATTCCTAGTGAAGTGCACCCATGTCCACCATAGGGACATTCACTGTACGCATTCTGCTCCGAAGTCTGCTTTTGTCAAACGTCCCAAAGGCGGAATTCTTTACTGCTTCCCTTTGACTTTCACCAAGACAGATCTTTCCAGCTGCCTCTTCCAACTGGGACCATCCCCATTCCCTCAAAGTCCCTCCTTGGCATCAAAGAGCGACTACCACATACTAAACCTTGTAGTCTTTCCATCCCTCTCTGGAGAGTTGAACCTTCTTTCTTGAAATCCTTCTCTATTCTGTGTTCCTAAATCACATATTTCTGACTCCTATTGCCATATCTTTTGCTTCTACCTGATCTTGGAAGTGTGTTTGGAAAAATCTGTACTGAGTGCCACATCCTTTGTAACTTCTACACTATCTGAAAACATCGTTGGCCTTGATTTCTCTCTCCTAAGCCTGAAGCTTCTCTTTTTTTCCTATCAGTGTCATGTCATATCTTAATCCAGGATCTGTCATATATATATGTGTGTGTGTGTGTGTGTATGTCTATGTGTATGTAGTGAATCTTATTCCACATGGCCCAGAGTCTCTTAAGCTCGAGCAGCTTTGTAATTCTGGTCTTGACCCACATGTACTTCTTACTTCCACCCCCTATTCCTAAGGCCTTCGTCCACATTCTGTAGTGTTCTGACGGCCTGCTTGACGCTCCCTTCTCTCTTTGCAGCTTATCTTCTTCACTGTATCAAATTTTCTTTCCTCTGCCCATAGCATTCCACCTTGTAATGCGTCTTTTACATGCTAAAGATATTATTAAACATGTGTAAAACATTCAACCCTGTTCCGATCGGTGAACGTGCTTCAGTAAGACGGCCAAATATCTGCACTCACAGAACTTAACTGATGCTGTATGTCAATGGAGAGAAAGGAAACAGATAAGGAATTAATAAGCTGCATATAGTACTAATCTTAATAAAATCAAAGGAGTGAATGATTAGGTAGATACTTTAAATTGAACAAACAAGCCAAACTACACTGAATTGACCTTTGTGATAAATAGAAAATGCCCAAAGGAGAAATCCTAGTCAGGATTTCAAGGAACAGATTGACAACTACTGCAGAGTCCTTGGATGCTGATAAGACTAGTGGGTTCACAAACGAGGCCCATGTTTGGCAGAGGGCTAAGCAAAAAATCAAACAAATGGGTTGATCAGGGCTGGAGAGATGGCTCAGCAGTTATGAGCATGTACTGTTCTTCCAGGTAACATGAGCTCAGTTGCCAGCACCCACACGTAGGGGCTCACAGCCACCTGAAACTCCAGTTCAGGGAGAACTGCCACCCTCTTCTGGCCTCCATAAGCATTGCACTCATAAGCACTTGTACACACACACACACACACACACACACACACACACACACATTAAATGTATATATTAAAAGAATGAAATGATCAAAATGAAATCAAAGACTTCTTAACTTGTAAGGCATGATATGGAATACTCAGATAATCCAGGTACTAGAGACAGCTCACAACTCAAACTGCATACAGATTGGAACTAATCATGAGATAAAATATTTTCCCATTCACATGTAAAACCTGAAACAAATCTAATGCGAGACGAGTTTGCCACTCCTCCCTTCATTTCTCCAATTCCTTCCGTTGCTGTGGCCCGCACTCCTTGATGGTCTGCAGTAAGTCTGCTGAGGTTAAGAGCCAAACTACTTCACCCCAAATCTCCAAAGTGTGCTTTTCCTATAACATCCCTGGCTACAATTCTAGCTGTGTTAATCACTCTGTGAACTGGAGCCAGTCCTGCAGTTCTAGAACCCATTTTCACTGTTTCCGTAGTTACATAAAAAGAGGACAGTAACTATCCACCTTACATCTATTGGGATAGTATCTACAGGGCACTTAATAGGCGTGTGTCCTGACAACACTCTAGAACTCTCTACTATGCAGCATGGGAATCTGGGACTTGGTGTAGCTCTTAGTGGGAGCTTCCAAATAAGACAGTGATTGATCCCACAGGGAACATCCCTTTCTCAGTATGTAACTATTGAAATAATCAAGGACCGACTGAAACATGAACAATGCAGCAGTGTTAGAAGTCCAGTAGTGTCTATGCCACACCGTGGACGGCCGCCAGGGGCTGACAATTCCTCCAAGTGAAACAGTGCACATAAGTCAACTCTAACTTCACCAATAAACTTTAGTCTTCGGTGGTTGAGGATACAGACATGAGAACTCACTGAGATGGTTAAACGGACAAAGCACTGCTATAATCAATTTTCCCCAAAAGATGGCTATGAATTTAAACAGCAAATGGAGAGGTATTTTAAAGCATAATGTCATTTATGGGTGTTTCTGTGTTCACGTGTGGTATGCATGTGTTCCGAGTGTGGAGGCAGGACACTTTAGTGTGCCCTTGCTCAGGTGCTATTCACCACTTTTCTTCTGAGACTGACTCTTTCACGGGCCAGAAACCCATCAAGGAGGTGGAAGTGCCTTGCCAGAGAGCCCTAGAGGTCTGCCAATCCCAGTCTTCCCACTGCTAGTACAAGCATATCCATCCTGCCAGGCTTTTTTTTATAACATGTGTTCTTGGCCTCGAACTTAGTTCCTCCTGCTTGAAGGAAAGCACTGTACTGACTGAATTATCTCCCCAACCCTATAAAAGCCATTTTTAAAAACTGGTCTAGAGAGCTGGTACAGTCCTTAAAGGCTCAGGCTCACAATAAAAAGTATAAGAAAGTTTAATATATCTGAGCCAGTCAAAGTGTCATTTTAAAGACAAGTGACAAAATTTTAAGAGAAGTAACAAATTTTAGAAGTAGTCACAACATAGAAAAGTGACACATTTATATAGTTATCATGTAAAGAACTCATAAATCAATAGAAAGATGGATATTCTTTCATTAACCAAATATTTATTAATGTATATCTACTTTGTGAGACTTACAGTAGTAGGGTAAATTGAAACAAATTATATGTAAATCAAGCAGCATAAGAAATACTGAGCTACCCATGCAGATTCTAGTAAACATACACACGCCTATCCTTCCAGCCTTTACAGTTTTCCCTTATTTAACTAGGATTTCTGGAATTCAAAAAATAATATTCTGATGCATTCATAATAGGAAAAAGGGTTTCAGTTTAAAGTTATAAATTATGCCTGGTGAGATGCCTCAGCAGGTAAAGGCACTTGCTGCAAAGTCTG